AATTGATCGAGAGCGTGAGAGGGAGGAGGAGGGGTCGGTGGCGCGAAGGATGCCTCCGGCGGAAGTTGGAAGCCCCCGAAATCCCCGAGTCGCACATACACACCACGATCCACGCTTTTGTTAGAAAATAGCGATGCCCCCTCCCCCTTTGGTCTAGGGAGGGAGAGGGGTCGAGGAAACGGGAACGAAATGAGGAGCTGTCGCGGCCAGCTGCTAACTCTCGAGAAATTCCCTGGCAGTCATCGGTCTGCACGCGCGAAAGGGTGTCCAATGAAATCGATAGCGACGCGTCTGGAGACGGTGTCCACTTGCCCCCTCCCCATTCAGGGACACGAAGTCGTCCGTTGGAACGATCCTTCGATCGATCCCTTGAATCTCTTTCGAAGGGAGAACGATCGACGGTGAAACGAGAATTTCGATTTCGAAAAGATTCGGAATGACTACGCGAGAAATTTTGACGGAAGGGAGTTAAAGAGTTTGGAGAAATTTGTTCGTTGGCAATGGAAATATACGCTCGTTTAACGATAGATCTCGTTAGCTTCTCTGTTCCGGCGAGGCGCCCTCATTGTGTCCCCGGGATCGAGCGCCGTACCATATTCAGCAAACCGGCGGGAATTTCGGGTTAGAATTAGGGCTTCGATTGGATTATCAGGACGACGGATTGGGGGAGAGGAAGTCTCTGTCTCTGCCTCTCTCTCTTTCTCTGTGCGCGTCTCTGCGCTCCCTTCTGGGCTCGGTCTCCGGTGGCGGTGGTGTGTCGGTTCGTAGATTGCGACGGTTCACGTAGGAAAGCCGGTCTGTCCGCGTGAGGGGCAGATCGCTGCTGGCCTAACCTAACCTAACCTGACCAGCGTGGGCAGCAGCAGCAGCAGCAGCCTGGTCGGATAGGACGCACCGCCTGTTGGGACGTCTTTAATTGGGTTGGCGACACCGTACCCGGGAAATAAAATGAATCGCTGCCTCGACGCGTCTCTTCTTCCTCCTCCTCCTCCTCCTCCTCCTCCCCCGTTTCGGTTTCGGCCCTCGTTCGAAACTGCTGCTCGCGCAAGATGATCGGGGGAGAGAGAAGAGGGAAGAGGCGGTGGCTCGCCCGGGGAAATAAAATCGGCCGCCGATGAATGCGAATCGAGGGACTTTGGGGCAAGGCGGAGTGGACAGACGAGGGGGGCAGGATGAGGAAAAGCTGCTAGAACTCTCCCGAGAGTTTCGAGGTGGTCGAGTTTCGGGGGAATTTTTGGATAGGAGATTCAGCCGCGCGATCTGAAGGAAATTTTAGGGAATCGATCGTCCGGAATCGATAGATAGTTGGTGGTAATTCGATTGGAGGGTAATTGGCCAATTACGGGGAAAGGGGAGAGAACGCTTTTTTCCTTTTTTTTTTCCTTTTTTCGAGCATCCCGTCCGCGGGAATAATCGAGTCGAATCGAATTTCTCCTCGATCCGATTCGATATT